GGTCAGAGGGTAGAAAATACCAGCCTCCATACCCTACAGACAGGATAGACATAAACCAGTTGTATCGTTTAGCTTGGGAGCCAACATCCATTCCCTGGTGTAAATAATTAGGACAGTAGTCACCATGTAATAGTTATCTGACTGCTCTAGGTGCTATGGGAAATGTTGTATAAAACATCAGGCACATAAAGCTAAAATTGACAATAGCACTGTCGAAAGAATAACTATCATAACACCACCACTATTGATTCACCTAAACTGCAGCTCCAGAGCAAAAGCTTTAATGCACATGATGTGCTCTGATTGAAAATGGAGTAAATATTGCTTTTATATTGAGGTTATTCTTTCCACTGCTGTTTCGGATTAGCACAACCCAGTGAGGACCACAAGTATTTCCATGTCTGGTTTCACCCCCCACTTCAGATCAGTTGAGGCTGTTCTTGCTACCTCACACGTCAGTCCAAAAGCGTATGCTATGAACGCCTATCTCCACACTTGTGCACACATGTCCATGCAAAAAAAATGCACACATTCCTCAAGAAATGGGTCAAGCCTGCACTGCAAAGTGCATGCCTAAAGTTTAGAGGTGAGGAGGAATCATGACTCGAAACAGGCAGTCGTCATTTCACCATTGCCGTCACGAGTCAGTCAGTCTATTTGCTGTTTTCAAGTTAATCAGTGGCTTATTCGGAACTGATGTGCAAGCCCTCAAAGGAGAGGCAATAATAATACTGGATAAGCTGAGAAAGCTAAAAAGGTCTTTGAAAGGAGGAATGTCTCTCTAAATGTGGACGAGTGGCAGGAGAGCCTTTGAAAAAGCCTGTAAAGCAAAATATTACCCATCTAGCAAGATGTTTTAATTCTAAACTCTTCAGGCTATTTTTATGACACTGCCAGGAATTAAGATGCAGTTCTGCTTTTCAGGAGACAGAGAGAGACACACACCAGGAAACCTGTGGACTTTCCACAGCCAGACCTGCAGCAAGCCCCTGGTTACCCAGACCAGAAGGAGACGAGGGGCAACCCCCAAATTGTGATAGGCATTTCCAAAGGCCGAGAACCTCTCCAACCCAAAGTCTCTCCATCCCTTCGCTCTACCCAGGGTCTCGCCGGGAAAGTAGCCAGCATGGTGTTGGTATCTCCTCCACCATGCTGTCAGCAAGCTGGCTTCCAGAAGGGTGGGAAGGGGTGAGCTTTGAACTTCTCTGGGTCTTTTTCTTTCCAGCTTGCCCTCCAGTTCTGTGGCCATTGGGAGGAGGACTCCAGCTGGCCTGCTGGCCACCAGCCACGAGATGGCGATAACGTCACGATAGAAGAAGGCCGGACCCTGCTGCTGGGGACCACCACCACCAACCTCAACCTACTGCATCTCAAAGGTCTGCAGAAGGGGGGGGGGAAGGTGGGGGGTTGGTTCAGTGCTCTTGTTCCTCCAGGACTGGAGTTTTTCATGCCATGATCTCCCCTTCCGTTGCCCAGCTCTGGAGACACCTGGTCGGGCAGGCTGAGTCTTCTCTCAGTGGATACAGCAGGATGGTGATGGGGGACGGGGGAAGCATTTAATTATTATGTATGCAGAAGGCATCGTTTATGCTTTTTAAGACATAATGGCAATACGAGTAGGAAGACTTTTTTTTTTTTTTCCTTCCTCCCAGCTACTGAAAGTGCTGCTGTCCTGAGTGGCGTTCAGTGATAATGGCAGTGCTGATAACAATAATCAGCTCTGTTTTGTTTGGCATCTTTGAGACAAGCATGTTGCAAAAGCCTTTACAAAATTAATGATGTTACAGAACTACAGGCCATAGCTACTGAATGTAATAAATAATCCAAGATCCTAGAGCACGGCTGGTGGAGAGTAAATAACCGAGCACAATTTTGGGGGGAAACACAGGGTTTGCAAGGTTCACATACCCTGGGGTAGACTCAGCGTAAGTGTCAGGAGGTATGTCTCTGTGGGTGTCAAAGTAAGGATTAAAATGACTTGTAATTCAGTGCCAGAAGTATTCCTTTCTGGAAATTAGGGCCTGATTGTGAAAACTGTTGTGCATACGGTTGGTATTAAGTGAATACGTTGTTCTGATGAAATTGCTTGCTCAAAGTTAAGCTGGTGTGTTAGCCTTTACTCAAATGGAGCTCGAAAAATGGAAAGAGGAGTTTTTATGTTTAAGGATCTGGATCTTTTTTGCTGGCAAATATGATTTTATACCAAAAGGATGTTAAAGCTACTAATTTTTCGTTGAGATGATGACGAAAAACATGCATTTGATAATTATACTTTAATCTAACTTTGAATTATCATTCTATAAAGAAAAAACTTTGCAAGTTTATCCCTATTGTGAGAACATTTCCAAAAAAGATTGAACTTGCACAGTCTAGGTTCAGAGACTTTAAAGAATTCCTACAACAGGCATCGTTCTTGTTTAAAAAGGAAAAAATCAAGTACAAATTTGAAATGTTAAAAATGTGAAATGTTTTAGTATAATTTTCTTCCCTCTCTTCCCCAGTGAAAATCCTAAATCTGTGTGATGTAAGATTCTTCTTAACCTCATAGTGATTATGACATACAGTAGAGGAGATAGGTCAGAGCCCCAGATTTCTAAGACTTTTGGCTGCAATCTGGATGAGGATTTTGGGGCTCAGTCTCTGACTATGTGAAGAATTGGGGCACAATATTGCGTTAGAAACCCTTTGAACTTTGGGCCTACTCAAAGGCACATTTGATTGATGTGTGAGCATTCATGAAGCAAACGGAGGTCTGATTGAATTTAATGAAGTCTGGAACAGAATCTTTATAGCTTTGGCTTATCTGACATTCAAATAATTTCTTCCCTTTATCATGTTTTCCAAGAAGCTTGGTCTATAATGTAGAGTCAGTTAGGAAAGCAGTATTAAAATATTCTAGGTGGTATTGTTTTCTGCATTGCTATATGCCAAACATAGAGACCAAACATTTTAAGAGCAGAAACCCACATGGTAATTGTTTATCTCAGCTTCATCTTTGCTGAAGTTTCCTTGTTGCATCCACTTCTACTTACGTGGATGCTACTAGCAGTTTAGCCTTTGTTAGATTTGGAGTCAAGACATCCTGAGATCTATTCTGATATGAGACTGAGATTTATCTTTCCTAACCTTATCTTACTTTCAGTTGTCCAGCTCAGGGGAGTTGTTTAGGCTCCTGTATTGATAGAGAGAAACACATCACCAAAGACTTGTTCATCCTAGGTATTACAGATACCCATCTTAAGATGAATCACAGTTAGGTGATCTGCTTAAAGTAGTACCTACTGAGTCAAATAATTGACAACTTTCCCCAGCTGCAAAATGGGCACGACAATAAGCTCCCAACCTGTAGGTGGGTACAGGTATGTGCCTCAATTGAAGCATTCCATTCCTATTCCAGCTGAAGAGTTTTTCTAAGTCGGAGCTGGAGAATGGGATTAAATTGTAGTTCTGCTCCCTTTGGCTTTCATGACTCAGCATCAGGCTGTCTGTGCACTCCCGAGCTGAAAATAAAACAGATGTTACAGTTGGAAAAAAGTCCACTCCTGTGCGAAGATGCTGTACTGCCCATTTTCTGGTGCTGTACCCAGCAAACCCAACACATGTCTACAGGCTCATTTCTTGAAATTCCCCTTTTTTAGGACACCGTGAGGATTTTGAACACTGCCCCTGTGTTGTCTCCTTATGATGGTTTCAACGTTGTAGAAATTCTTTAATGAGTATTACAACAAGGATGTCAGCTTCATGTGCAGCCTTAAAGTGACCCTGCTTTAGCTGTATTAATATAGATCCAAATACATATAGTGGTTTTGGTAGTGACCTTACTGTCTGGACAGAAGGTCTGGAGGCCAAAGCAACAGAGAAATAGGATTAGGCAGCTGAGTCCTGCCCACTGCTATGAGGGCTCAGCAGTTTCTACCGCCTCTTCAACAAGCAGAGCATGAACATGTGGTTATCGGCAGTGGAAAGTTTTAATAGCCAGACTGTGAAACTGCTCAGACAATACTGATTGGGGAAGAGATACAAGATAGACAGATTGTAGATAACTCCCTATATTCAGCAGATTGCAGTTATTTTTATAATCCCAACATCACAAGTATGGAAATGTTTATGATAACCCAGGACAGATGGAAATTTCCTTTGCACAGAGCTTACACTGGAGTAACTCCTTTGTGTTTGAAAGGTTGATACCTCAGACATGTGCTATTGCCTTTGTCTGAATTTATAGTGCTCTAGAGAGGTCTGGAGACCAATAAAGCTGCTTAGTCTTTCAGGAATACCGTGGGGATGAATTTTGGGATGACACTGCCAGTATACCCTGGTGGGGTTGAAGATCCCCAACTGACTGGTTGCCTTTGCAATGGCAATTTTGAGATGGCCGTCCTTCCACGCGTAAGAGAGAAGATTGCTTTGGCCCCTATTCTAGAAAAGCCTCACTATCACTTGTCACAGCTCTTCCTGTCCCCTGTCATTTGTATCATTGCTGCATCTTAACAGTCCTCCTGAAACCAGCATGCCAGGTCCTTCTTCCATGGTCAGACTTCAGGCTGAGGTTTTCAGAAAGGTCTGATCACTTCATCTGAGGTTTCTGCCTCTAAAAACTGTGCATTCGGTTTCCAAAATACCACAGATCCCAGAAAAAAAATAGAGAACTGACAAGCCCCAAAGATACTCATGACATTGTTACTTATTGTCTGATTTTGAGCCACTTCACAAGAGCAATACATCAATATTTGGAATTTCTTGTAATCCATGCTCAGATCAGACTGTAGCTAGAATGAGTCCTGTGGGTAGTTCTGGGGAGGAGATAAATCCAAATATTAATTTTATTTGATTTTTTTCTTAGGCTATTAACAAAGAGCATCGAACATTAGCTGATACACCTGCATAAGTAGTTGTCAAATAACTAGTGCTTCACTCATTGCTGGGGAAGACTGGATTTGAGTTTGCTGAAAGAAGGAAAAAGCTTTTCCCTCTGTTTTCCTGTCTATGGCAGCAAACTCATTTTAAACCTTAAACCCATTTTAAAATCCCTTGTCAGTAGGCACAGTTGGAAACTGCTTGTGTAGCGGTGTTTTCTGTGCCATTTTGATCAACCCATTTGGGATGTGCATTGTGATACTTTTTGCAGGCAGTTTCTAGTTCATATTTTCTTTTTTTAATCAGGCAGAGACATTACAATTAAAATACCGTAAAAGTGATTCTGGCAGTATTGCAATAAGCATGTTTTTTAATTAAAGAAAGAACATGGGATGTACAAATAGTACCAGCTAATGGGAAATTTCATCCAATGTATTTTTTAATTGAGATTTAAAAGGAAGAAAAGTCAGCCCTATTTCTCCCTGTCACTGTGTGATATTTTCCCACGTTGTTACAGTGAGGTGTACCAAGTCTGCAATAATTACAGTCTCAGAGCCTTAAAGTCCCAGCTGTTTTCATGGAAAAAAATGAAAGGCATAAGTTCTTTATTTTGTTAGTATATTTTTTGCAGGAATTCAGTGTTATTCAATAAAGTGCAACTTGCAGAGCTGAACGTTCCTGGAAGTAGAGTTTTAAACTGTAGAAATTTTATTTTTTTTTTCCAGTTCTTCCCCCAGCAGCAAACCCTGGTTCGTATTTGGGTGTAGGCTGCAGGTTTCTTTTTCCCATTGTGTTTTGGATGGGCTTACAGCATGTATATTAGACTCCCAAGGCTCTCGCTTGCCAATGAAATTGATTTTCTGCAACTTCAGTAGCTCTTGAAACTCCACTGGGGCATCGCAGGATGAGTAGATCATTGGAAACTAATCCTGGCTGAGGAACTGCACACAGCTCCTCCAGACACGGGGCTGAGACCCAAGGCAGCACCGTCCCCTTCTCCGCTTGCTGGAAGATGTGCCCCTTTCAGGGATGCAGATGCGGCCTCTAACCATGGGATGCAAAGATCTGCTGTGTCTGTCTCCACCTGTCCTGAACACTAGTCAGGCCCTCATTTCGGTAGCAGCTTTGTACCATTAGTAGATCTGTCCTCACACACTTTCATGTTTTACAGAACTAAGGTCATGCGACCTGTGCATGCTGGGAGCTGAGGTTCTTGTCTTCTTAAGGTTTTTAAATGCAAATAAATACCTTCAAAGGCATGAGTCTGTATCATGAGCCCAGAACTACAGAGGAAGCGTACTGTGTAACAGGATTGCACGCAGGTTTCTTAAGTTTTGATGTACCCCCTCTTCCTCTGATGGCTTGACAGACTGTGCATTATGGTAGTTTTGCTGTAGGAACAGGTTGTTGCTAAGACCAAGGTCCGATCCACAGTGCTAGACATGAGGAGGTAAACCCTATCTGTAATATCTTTAAATCCAAATGGCAGAAATAATCTTGAAATTAGATAACAGTGGTT